TTTTTTTGGGATTTTCGAATTTTTTTCCCGGTAAAGTCTTAATAGCACAAAATATGTAACTTATGCTCCAAATATTTATCTTAGTCCTAGTAGGATACAACTATATAATGTATTTTCCAATAAAATAAAATAATAATATGAGATGAGTCATAGCATTGTACTAAAATATTCAATAACATAGATAATAAAATCGCACAAAGAAAATATTACTAATTAATACACCATAATAAAAATTAACATAATCTAAAAATACTATATAGGTCGTGCTAAAATAAGTACAATTAATAAGTGCAATTAATTACACAACTAAGCATAAAAAAAGATAAACTAGGTTATACATTTTCATTATAAATCAATGCAAAACTAAAAAATAAATATCCAACACTATTGTCATTTTTAGTGTTGAATTGAATTTTCTTTATTAGCATTAGCATTGATTTGAACTTTATTTGACTTACTACCTTTATATAAACTTTATTGGACAATTCAAGAATGTTAAGTCCAAACTTTAAATAATACTTTTAAAGATAAAATTGTGAACAAATTTAAGAAATATTTATAAATTATATTACAATAAATATTTATATGCATAAAATATTTTTTTAAATTGTATAAATATAATGTCGGGTTGTTTTGGTTTCGGTTTGATATTTTTTAGTTAAAACCAAACCAAACCGATTATGGTCGGGTTTTTTTCCAACACCAAACCACAATCAGATTTTTTTTCACGGTTTGACTCGGATTATCGGGTTAGTGCGATTTATCGGTTATCTTTGTACATCCCTAGTGAAAAGAAATGGTCCATATTCTATTTGATCTTGTTCTGTATGTTAATTTATTTTAATCAATTAGAAACTGATTATCTAATCAATATCTGATTATACACATATTATACATAGAGTAAGAATTTATTATATATTAATCGATTAATTTTAGTTTAAGTGGTTGGGTAGATGGCTATTTGAATTAATTCTTCATATATATATATATACTAGTCTTAAGGTACGCGCTTTGCGCGTGTACCTGTGCGTGTCAATGAATATACAAATTTTAAAAGTTACATAAATATTATTAAATAATATATATTTTTTATTATTGAATAAGTATTAAAGAAAAAAATGTAAGTTCCTAAAATAACGAATATTAATCTGACTAAGCTATCTCAACAAAACAAAAAAATCCTACTTCACATAAGTTTTTATATGCCCTTATTATGATTTATGAGGCGCGAAATATCTTATGAAAATTATTGTTATCTTTGTTACCAAATACTATAAGCAAATAACACAAAAGATACTTTTACCACAATTATTCAAAGAGAACAAAACAAATTGAAGAATTTGAATTTTTTGGTATTTTAGAAATTTGTGAGTGATGAGGTAGAACTCCTCATAGAAAAATATTAATAAATAACAATAAAAGTTTTAAGTAACTAATATTGAATTACAAAAATATATAATACTATATTAAAAAATATAGGGAATTATCATTTATTGGAATGAATATACAAAGAAAGAAAAATGATAACAACACTTCTTTTGAATACCTTTCGTCTTATGTTATATCCTTAAAATTCAACTTAGCTTGTTTATCAATCTACTTTTTAATACTATTTTATTAATGGATTTTGCTCTATTTTCTTATTTCTTTCACAGCCGATGCTTTTCTAGTGAAAATAAATTTATGTACCTTAAAAGTTTCATCAACTTGACAAATAATTTTACTTACATAATGATTTTGAAAAATATTGAATTGAATTTGTTTGCTGATTTATTAATTCAAAGGCTTAATTATTTCTTGAGATTTCATGCTGTTAAGATAGTATAGAAGATTCTCTCTATCAATTTGTATAATATTTATATAATTTTTACTATTTAAAAATATATTTTATATTGGACAAAATAGTAATTTATTTATCTTCCTAATATTTAGGACTTCTAAATCAACTAAAATTTTATTTATTATATCTTTCCTTATTCGAATTCTGTAGAAAATAACTTTAAAATTAATTATAATTTTACCTTATATAAATTATTTAATTTAATTATGACACAACTATAACTATACTTTTTCTAATGTTTAGGGAAAAAGGGAATAGAATATGCGGATCATTTCCGTAAATCTACGTTATCAATTTTCCTTTCCACTAAGAGTGTTTTAATTTGTTTGGCCAAAATCACTTAGCTTGAATATTCATTAATTGTACATAAATCAAATAAGGAAAGATATAATAAATAAAATTTTAGTTGATTTAGAATTCCTAAATATTAGGAAGATAAAAAAATTACTATTTTGTCCAATATAAAATATATTTCTAAGGGTAAAAAAGGCGAACGACATTTCGCTAAGGGTATTCGTGCTTTTAATTGCGTTGCACGATAACAATGTCACGTTGATATTTGATCGCTAAAATCTTTCACTTTCCGGCTGCAGGGTCTCTAAATACGTATGCAATTATGTTTTATTACTTAATATTCATGGATATCCCTTAAAACAATTGAGTAGCATGGATGTATTATTTATTCGTAGAAGTGATTACTAAAAAAAGTAAAAGAAGCTTTGTCATACAAAATAGAAGAAAAACAAAATTAACTCGCTAGGGGCAAACTTGTCTATTTTTAGTCAATTAATAGTTTTGTTACACCAAATATGAAAAAGGGAGGTAAACGTAATATTGTGAACTGATGTGTGACTATAATTCATGGTTTAGCATATTATTCGCCTTGCATTTTATACGCTTTAATGATAAATTATACTTTATTTGCTCGTAATGAAGTCCATTTTATGTGTAGGTGAATTGAAGATTAAAATAGAGCAAAAGGGATACTTAAAAGTCGAAAGCGTGCTCGGGAGCAGTTGAAAAAGAGAAGCTGGCAAAGCCAGGCCTACACCAGGCGTTATACCTAGCGAAGCCAGGCCTAGAGCAGGCCTTATACCTGGCGACGCCAGGCTTATAGCTGGCGAGAGACCTGGAGAGGCGGGGCAGAAGGCGAGCTTGACCAGGCCTTATACCTGGCTACGCCAGGCCTGGAACGAGGTCCACCAGGCGTTAGGCCCCGCGAGGCCAGGTTTGGGCGTGCACAGTCCGAATTTTGAAGACTTATTTCATCTCCGGGTTTGACTAGGACTTTGCCTACACGTTTAGGTCTTTTCCTACACATATAAATAGACCTAAAAATGCCACTTTTGGGGGACTTTTGCAACCGGAGGCAAGAATAGCTTGTGGAGTCACCCGTTGGGAGTTAGAATCACCGATTTCTACATCCTTTCATCTTTACTTTATAATTGAATTATGCAAAATATTTGAAATTTTTTTACTATGAGTATGAGTAGCTAAACTCCTAATCTAGGGTTTTGATGGAACCTATTGAATGATGATTTTCTTGTTACGTTAATATAAATTTGCCGTAGTATTTTCTCTATTTGTTCAACAATATTATTCATGTGGTTGATTGAAGGCCCCTCAATTAGCTGTACCTATTTAGTATGTATTACTCGGGAGAGAGTACATATTTAGGTAGTTGTTGAACAATATCACTCCTAACGTATATGAGGGATCAATACGGATGGTTTAAAGGTGGGATTAGGGATAACGAAACCTTGGTACGATCTGAGTGAGTTGTACTTAAGGCCAACTAGCGTAATTTAGGAGAATATGTCTAGTCAATTATGGTAATTACTCGGGAGAGAGTTACGATAGTCAGAGTGCTCATGATCGGTAGAGAAAACTTAGGCGAATTTATAGAAAACCTACCGGAAAAGATTCCGACAATAGGGGAAATCACAACCTTAGATCATTCCAATTCTTATTTACAAACCGTTCGCAGTTAGTTATTTATTATTGCATTTTTATTACGTAATATTTAGTTAATAAACATCTAAATTGTTGTTTAAATATTTCTGAAGATTGATTGCGTGAATTTGTGCGAGTCTAGCAGCTGTGGTTGATAGGTTAATTTCATGTGGGATTCGACTCCGGACTTATTAGCCGGGATATATTTGCGACGACCGCTTGTCCTTTTTATAAGGTATAGTTGGGCGTGATTAAATTTTGGCTCAGTTTTTGGGGACTTAACGATGTTATTAATTGCAGCTAAAAGAAGTGCTAGAATTCTTAGTGTAGTCAATTTTCTTCGTTCTAAATCAAATACATTGAAATTCTAACGTTTGTAGTCTTGGGTGTTACATGTGCATGCCTAGGAACTCCTCAAGAACTGGTGAACTGCTCGAAGCGTTATCAGATCCTGAGAAAGTTTTCAAGGCACTAAATCATGCAAACAAGAAAAGCAAACAACAACAAAACTTGACAGAACAAATCGAACCAAACATGGATGACGGAATAGAAAATCCAATCAACAACAGAAACAATGCGAATGAACCAAAAAATCAGGGTGTGGTGCCTCTTGTACCAAAAGCAGCATTATATGATTGGGCACAACCCACCACCGATAATCTGGCAACCGCAACTGCAGTCCCTCAAATACAAGTGGAATCATTTCAAATCACAAACAACATGCTACATTTGTTGCAGAACAAGGGACTGTTCTCAAGGTCACACATTGAAGATCCTCAACAATATCTGAAGAATTTCTTGTCGATATGTGTCATGCAAAGGCAACCTAACGTGACACCGGACGCAATAAAGCTGTTATTGTTCCGATTCTCGGTGACAGGAGAAGCTCAGACTTGGCTTAATTCACTCCCCATAAACTCCATCACTACTTGGGAGGAATTAGTCAAGCAATCTTTGAACAAATTCTACCCACCCAATAAAACTGCCCAACAGATTGATGGTATATTGAACTATAGGCAGAGACCAACAGAATCACTACAAGAAACGTGGGATAGGTTCAAGGATATGCTGGTTAAGTGTCCATATCATGGCATTCCCGAACAGATATTGGTGCAGAGATTCTACATGGGACTGGCTGACGGCTTAAAGGCGAATGTTGATGCTTCAGCAGGTCCATATCGGAGAATGCAAGATCCTACTTGATAAGATGGCCCAAAACTCAGGATGGATGACGAGAGCCTCTACGATCACTCCGGTAGTTCACTCAGTGGCTTTGGACCCAAACAACTCCATAGCTGAGAATATGGCCACTCTAATGATACAAATGAGTAACCTCACAAAGAAGATTGATGAATCATGCCAGAAGCAGCAGGTTCACATAGTTGACGCAACTAATGGGGGCTTATGTACACCATACATTAACCAACCATATGTTTGCTCGTGGAGTGTGGAAGGTGACAACCAGCACTATCAGGAATATATAAATTATGTAGCCAACTATGGGGGACAGAGGCAAGTATCCAGAATTGGGGTCAACAGAATCAACAATATAGACCAACACAGTAACAGTACAATAACAACAACAATCCTCGAGCTATGCGACCACAGGGTCAAGTGGTGCCTTACCAAAGGTTACAACCAGCAAAATCAGCAGCTGGCTTATCAACACCCTCAGCAACAACAGATTGTGAGACAAGATGATGGGTTCACTGAACTTAAGGGAATGCTGGACAACAACAACCGTATGTTGCAACAACTGATTGAGTCCTCTGAAAAAATGCAAGAGAGAGTAGACTCACATGAATCAACGATAAAGGGTATTGAGGTTCAATTAGGACAAATTTCTATGGATCTAAACAATCATCCCCAAGGGACGTTACCTGCAGACACACAAATCAATACAAAAGATCAGGGCCCGAAACAGCTTATGGCAGTGAGTCTACGAAATAGTAGAGACCTAGATCTGGAGCAAGAGATTGCTCGTGAAAGCCGACCTACTGAAACAATTGTGCCAGTACCCATTGAGATCGATAAATTAACAGGGTTAACTGAGGTGATGGTACAACATGCACAAGAGAGCACAAGCAAACAAAAAGAGGTTGCGAAGGAGACTGAGGTAGCACAAGAAACGACAGTAGAAGCAGTGCCTGAGCAAGATAAAACTCAAATCATAGGAAAGAAGCGACCTCCAACACGATTCCCGCAGAGATTAGCAAAATATCAGAAGGACGAGCAATATAAGAAATTCATGGAGATGTTGAAACAAATACAAGTGAACATTCCACTGATTGATGCGTTGCGAGAGATGCCTAGGTATGCCAAAATGATGAAAGATTTAATGTCTCGGAAATTCGACTTTCAAGACCTGTCCACTGTTACATTGACACAGACTTGTAGTGCAGTCGTGACGAACCCATAACTGAGAAGTTATCAGACCTAGGGAGTTTCACAATCCCATGCACGATAGGAAGCTATGCTTTTGCTAAAGCATTGTGTGATTTAGGGGCAAGCATAAACTTGATGCCCTTGGCTATCTACAAAATGTTAGGCATATGAAGAGCTAGACCCACGCCCATATTACTACAGCTAGCTGACCGGACAGTGAAGAGGCCCTCTGGTATTCTTGATGATGTATTAGTCCAGGTTGGAAAGTTTGTGTTCCCAGTAGATTTTTTTATTCTAGACTGCCGGGTTGACGAGGAGATTCCCATAATTTTGGGAAGACCATTCTTGGCCACTAGGAGAGATTTAATTGACTGTGAAACTGGAGAACTCAAAATGAGACTAAATGATGAAGAGATAACATTCAACGTGCAGAAATCTATGCGGCGACCGAATGAATTTGCTAACTGCTCTCTAATAGAAGTCGTGGATGTAATTTTGGAGGAGGAAGATGAGACCTTGAACTCTAAAGACCATCTAGCAGCCTGTCTCTTGAACTTAGATGAGGTAAATGGAGAGGATTTGGCGGAGTGGGTGCTGGCTCTTGAAGGCCAAGGGTTTTGGAAAAGAGAGCTCAAATTTGAGCCTTTACACTTAGAAGAAAGAAAAATTCCTCCAGCTAAGCCATCGATAGAAGAGCCACCAAAGTTAGAATTGAAACCGCTACCACCTCACCTCAGGTATGCTTTCTTGGGACTTAACTCAACTTTACCTGTTATTATCTCATCTGGTTTGTTAGATTTGCATAAAGAATAGCTTTTGCAGGTATTGAGTGAGTGCAAAACCGCAATTGATTGGACCATTACAGACATTAAGGGAATCATCCCGGCCTTCTGTACGCATAAGATTCTACTGAAAGATGGCCACAGACCTTCCAGAGAACATCAAAGAAGGCTGAACCCCAACATGAAGGAAGTTGTGAAAAAGGAAGTGATAAAGTGGTTAGATGCGGGGATCATTTTCCCAATCTCCGACAGCAACTGGATCAGCCTAGTCCAATGTGTGCCTAAGAAAGGTGGGATGACTGTAGTGCATAACGAGAACAATGAGTTGATATCAACAAGAACAATCACCGGATGACGAATTTGTATGGACTACAGAAGATTGAACAAGGCCACCCGAAAAGACCACTTTCCCTTGCCATTCATTGATCAAATGCTAGATAGATTGGCCGGGAAGTCCCACTTTTGCTTTCTGGATGGATACTTGGGGTATAATCAAATATCCATTGCCCTGAAAGATAGAGAGAAAACATTATTCTCCTGTCCATATGGCGTTTACGCCTTCCAGAGGATGCCGTTCGGCCTATGTAATGCACCTGCCACATTTCAAAGGTGCATGATGGCCATCTTCACGGAAATGGTAGAGGACATCATTGAGATCTTTATGGATAATTTCTCAGTGGTGGGAGACTCATTCGATGATTGCCTAAGGAATTTGAAAAGATTTCTAAAAAGATGTACCGAGACTAATCTGGTACTCAATTGGAAAAAATGTCATTTCATGGTACAGAAAGGTATAGTCTTGGGGCACCTAGTGTCGAGTAAGGGCATCGAGGTAGTTCGTGCAAAGGTTGATGTGATCGAAAAGCTTCCACCACCCACTTCCGTCAAAGCAATAAGAAGTTTCCTTGGCCACGCCGGGTTCTATAGACGGTTTATAAAAGATTTTTCCAAAATTGCTAACCCCTTGTGTAAATTGCTTGAAAAATATCACCCTTTTGTGTTTTCTGATGATTGCAGGGTAGCTTTTGAGGAATTGAAGAAAAGGCTGGTGAAAGCACCCAACATAGTTGCACCTGACTAGGAGCAACCGTTTGAGCTGATGTGTGACGCAAGCGACTATGCTGTGGGAGCAGTGCTTGGACAACGCAAAGACAAAGTCATGCATCCAATATACTACACTAGTAGAACTTTGAGTGGTGCCCAACTAAATTACACGGTGACCGAGAAGGAGATGCTAGCAGTGATGTTCGCATTTGACAAATTCAGGTCATACCTGATAGGCTCTAAGGTAATTATTTATATTGACCATGCTGCTCTCAGATACTTAATTGATAAGAAGGATTCAAAGCCGCGCCTGATTTGATGGGTGCTACTACTGCAAGAATTTGACTTAGAAATCCGTGACCGAAAGGGAACGGAGAACCAAATGGCTGATCACTTGTCCAGGCTGGAAGGAGCCAAGAAGAAGGTTGACGTGGAAGAGATTGTGGAGACCTTCCCGGATGAACAACTACTAGCCACGAGTCTTGAGGTAGCGCCATGGTATACAGACATTGCAAACTACTTGGCAAGCGGTATTGTCCCCTATGACCTTTTTTCTATTCAAAAGAAAAAGTTCTTTCGTGACTGTCGCATGTATTATTGGGATGAGCCTTATATGTTCAGGATTTGTGTTGATAACATGATCCGGAAATGTATCCCCGAGATAGACCAATCTTCTATTTTGTAGGCGTGTCACGCGTCACTATATGGTGGCCATTTCGGGGGAGTAAGGACAGTTGCGAAAGTCTTGGAGTCGGGCTTCTATTGGCCGACATTGTTCAAAGATGCACACTTATGGGTGAAATATTGTAATGAATGCCAACGAACCGAGAATATTCCCACCGACATGAGATGCCTATGAACCCAATTCAGGAGGTAAAAGTGTTTGATGTATAGGGAATCGATTTCATGGGGCCTTTTGTCATCTCATATGGCAACAAGTACATACTCGTAGCTGTGGACTATGTGTCCAAATGGGTGGAGGCTGCAACGCTCCCTACAAATGATGCAAATGGGGTAATTGGGTTTTTAAGAAAGAATATATTCACCTGATTTGGCACTCCAAGGGCAATAATTAGTAACAGAGGCACTCACTTCTGTAATCGAGCCTTCGCAAAGTTGTTAGAAAAGTATGATGTACGCCACAAGGTCGCCAGCCCATATCATCCACAAACGAGTGGGCAAGTGGAAGTTTCAAACAGAGAGATAAAGAGTGTTTTAACAAAGCCTGTGAATGCTACAAGAACGGATTGGGCGAGAAAGTTAGATGATGCACTCTGGGCCTATCGTACTGCTTTCAAAACTCCGATTGGCATGTCGCTGTATAAATTGGTATTTGGGAAGGTGTGTCACTTACTAGTGGAGTTTGAGCATAGAGCTTTGTGGACATTGATGCAATTGAATCTCGATATAGAAGCTACGGGTACAAGTAGAGTCACATAGTTGCACGAGCTTGATGAGTTTCGTTACCACACTTTTGAGAGCACAAGATTATACAAGGAGAGAATGAAAATGATGCATGATAAAAATATTCTTGAGCGGAGCTTTAAACCCGGAGATATGGTATTGCTATACAATTCAAGATTGAGGTTATTTCCGGGTAAATTAAAGTCAAGATGGTCAGGACCATTTAGTGTGGTAGAGATTCACCCGACCGGAGCCGTAGAGATTGCTGCAGTAAATGACTCTCGCACGTTTAGAGTCAATGGGGACAGGTTAAAACATTATTTGGGCATGGAAGATGCGAAAGTAGTGTCAGTGACTCATTTGCTCGAGCCACCAAGGTTAAGCGAGCCTTAAGTGCAATTATCTGCGTCGTGCCGCAACGTTAAATCAGGCGCTTCATGGGAGACAACCTATTGTAATGTTGTATTCGTCGTGCCGCGACGTTAACTGAGGCCCTGCATTAGTGTTTTGTTCAGTATTTTGGGCTATAATTCATGATTTAGCACATTATTCGCCTTGCATTTTATACGCTTTAATGATAAATTACACTTTATTTTCTCGTAATAAAGTCCATTTTATGTGTAGGTGAATTGGAGATGAAAGTAGAGCAAAAGAGATATTTAAAAGTCGAAAGCGTGCTCGGGAGCAGTTGAAAAGGAGAAGCTGGCAAAGCCAGGCCTACATCAGGCGTTATACCTGGCGAAGCCAGGCCTAGAGCAGGCGTTATACCTGGCGACGCCAGGCTTGTAGCTGGCGAGAGACCTAGCGAGGCGGGGCAGAAGGAGAGCTTGACCAGGCCTTATACCTGGCGACGCCAGGCCTGGGGCGAGGTCCACTAGGCGTTAGGCCCCGCGAGGCCAGGTCTGGGCGTGCACAGTTCGAGTTTTGAAGACTTATTTCGTCTTCGGGTTTGACTAGGACTTTGCCTACACATTTAGATATTTTCCTACACATATAAATAGATCTAAAAACGTCACTTTTGGGGGGACTTTTGCAACTGGAGGCAAGAATAGCTTGTGGAATCACCCGTTGGGAGTTAGAATCATCGATTTCTACATCATTTCATCTTTACTTTGTAATTGAATTATGCAAAATATTTGGAATATTGTTACTATGAGTATGAGTCGCTAAGCTCCTAATCTAGGGTTTTGATGGAACCTATTGAAGGATAATTTTCTTGTTACGTTAATATAAATTTACCGTAGTATTTTCTCTATTTGTTCAACTATATTATTCATATGGTTGATTGAAGGGCCCTCAATTAGCTGTGCCTATTTACTATGTATTACTCGGGAGAGAGTACATATTTAGGTAGTTGTTGAACAACATCACTCCTAACGTATATGAGAGATTAATACAGAGGGTTTAAAGGTGGGATTAGGGATATCGAAACCTTGGTATGATCTGAGTGAGCTGCACTTAAGGTCAACTAACGTAATTCGGGAGAATATATTTAGTAAATTGTAGTAATTACTCGGGACAGAGTTACGACAGTCAGAGTGCTCATGATCGATAGAGAAGACTTAAGCGAATTTATAGAAAACATAGCGAAAAAGATTCCGACAATAGGGGAAATCACAACCTTAGATCATTCCAATTCTTGTTTACAAACTGTTCGTAGTTAGTTATTTATTATTGCATTTTTATTACATAATATTTAGTTAATAAACATTCAAATTATTATTTAAATATTTCTGTAGATTGATTGCGTGAATTTGTGCAAGTCTAGCAGTTGTGGTTGATAGGTTAATTCCCTGTGGTATTCGACTCCAGACTTATTAGCCGGGATATATTTGCGACAACCGCTTGTCCTTTTTATAAGGTATAGTTGGGTGTGATCATGAACCACAAGGGATGTTAGTGTTATGAAGCCAAACCTGAAGGGAGGTTTCTGAAATTATCTCTATTTAATATTGTTTATGATGCAAGTTGTGTATTGATTGGCAAGTACATTATAGATATGTATTAGAATAGGATTTATGAGATCTTTGGACAACTTGCTTTAGGCTTTTATATTTTAAAATAAATTCTTGAGAAGAGTGAAATCCTTAATTCTAGATGATTTTATTATACAAGTATTTTAAGAAAGACATAATGTATGATAATATAATTTTGTAACAGAAAAGAGAACTGGATAAGTGATACCCTCCTATGTCCCAATTTACAGAACTGTGCTAAAAATTTATACTGATATTCCCATTGGGTCTATTAAAGTGAAGCGTAAGTTCAACCAAAACAAAGAAGATATCGGGTTTTTTAAAAAAATTACCTTTAAAGAAAGAACAATAATATCAATGTACTGCATGCTGATATACTTCATGAATTCTCCATTAGATATATTAAGTTAATCTTTAAGAGAAATTCATGAAATTAAGAAATTAAATTACCTCTAGAAAGACTTATGTCCTTTGAGTGTAACAACAGATGATGAAGCGCATTATTAAAGAATGTCATCATATCAGGACGAATAAATAATATACTGGAATAAGAAGCCAAGCTGACATAGTTTATTCTCCATTGAGATCGTTACAACTTACAATTCCTTTTATTTTTAATCTCG